ATTGCTATTATTCTGATCGTGAGCTATATTGTAGTAGCTCCATGGATAATATCTTATTCTTTGCTTTTGCTGTAAACATGCTACACATCAAATATATTTCTGTGTATCCTGAGCTTAATGTTAATACTTAAATTTTATTCTTTAAAAGTAACATTAGCAACATCTGTTAAAAGATGGATAATAAACAATAATACAATTAGTTGCAGTAAAATATATTTTAGTTTCTTCACATCTACAACTATCCCCATAATTTCCTTGTTGACTAAACTAATGGTATTTCATCAGAAACCCACAATCCAGACAGACTGAAATTCGTAATTTTTTAGAAACCTGAAACAAAAGAGCATATATAACCTCTCTTACAAATCTATTCCAGTATCTGAACTTTCTCGATGAGAGTGCTTTCTGAGGCTTGATCTTTCCTTCTCCTGGTCAATCCATTTTCTTTCCTTCTACCTTTAATAGGTAGAGAAGAAGAAATGATCTTTCTTTGTGACACAGATGGTAGGTGTGCATACTATTATGTCAGTAATACATAACTCACACCCATTGTTTAAGATTAAACATCTACAAGAGTCATTGATTTATATAACAGTGAGCATTAAAAAAGAAAAAAACAAGGATAGAAGACTGGATAGAAGACTCTTTTGTCTGATAAAGTAAAAGGCAATCCGGATCTTTTCTAGAGTTATATATGCCATTTTCAATATAGTTACCCCTGATGACCAATTTACTTGGAATTAAAGAGCATATTCCATGGAAGACATTAGACTTTTGATGTTTAAATCTTTTAAAAAATGATTTTTTACAGGCCATCTCACAAAGACATATTTATTCGTGGATAAAAAATGAAGGACAAGATTTCTTTTATGAAATGTTGTCAGCCTCTACTTTATCTAAAAAAGTTTCTTTTAAAATGGCTGTACTGTTTCAGAAATTTTGTTTCACTCTGTATCTGTGTTAGTGTCTTTCCTCTCTTATCTTGCTTTTTCAAGGCAACAGACAAAATTCCATTTCTTAGAACTGAACCAAAAAGTTAGGGCCTAAATAAATCTAATGCTTAATAAGAGAATATTGAATGCAGTCGATTTTTAGAGAATGTAAAGCATATCATATTCTGCTTCTGTAATTATAATAGTTTTCTTGGAGAGAACAGAGGAGCAACAGGGTTCATCCAGGTGCTGTGTATTAAGAATTAAATAATAAAGATATATAAATATAGTTGATTATTGTGTTAAGTTAAAAGCAACAGCAGTGTATAAAAATTTATTGTTCCAAAGCCTTGTTTAAGGAAAACCACTTTATTATGGGATTTATTTTACCTGCTTAGCTAATAAACTGCATAACAAAGACATAATTTTGTAGGTGAAAAGCCAAGTTCATTAGCACTTAAGTCATCTAAAATAGATCATGTCAAGTGTTCTAAGGGTTTTGGACACAATGAAAACATCCATTAGAATGAATAAAAATGATTCTAACATCATCACCATTTTTAACTCTTTTTCTATTTAGATATACATGACGTCACCATCATCATTGTCATAATCATTAAATATTTATTTTTTAATTTTAATTTTAATTTTTTTAAATTATTCTTTAGTTGTAGATGAACATAATACCTTTATTTATTTATTTGTTTTTTATGTGGTGCTGAGGATTGAACCCAGTGCCTCACACATGCTAGGCAAGCACTCTTACCACTAAGCCATAACCTCAGCCCCATTAGATATTTATTGAATACCCAGAGTGAGTAGAATCTACCTTTTTTAAATGCTAAAGTCCACTCCTGGTAATTTCAACTTAAAAAATTAAAAGCAATCAGGGAATTCTCATTGGAGAATTGGAGTCAGGGAATACTTGGGCAGAGAATCTTGGAAGACTCCGGAAATCTCAGATTAATAAACTTTTAGGAAGATCGGAAGGAAAGATAATCTTTCACAATGAGGGTTTAACTATCCATTTTTGCAAAGGACCACTCTCCCTAGCAGCTGCTGTCCTTCTTCCACGGCTGAGCTCTTTGTTGGATACCTTGGAAGCCAATAAGAGCAACAAAATCCAAGGAAGGAGCTTTAGAGAATTAAAAAATAAAACAATGACAACAAAGACAAGTATTAAAAAAGTGAGAGGGAGGCATTTGGAGAGATCCCAGGTAAACTCAGCCTTCCAGGAAGATTTTTCCTTCTGGACTTTTCATTTTATATTGTTCTAGTGCCTTAAACCCTTAACTCTGGTGTAATTTCAAATGAAAACAAATTGATTGTCAAATTATATTGCTATATTGTGCATGTACAAATATGTAGCAACAAATTCCACTATCATATATAACTATAATGCACCAATAAAATATATTTTAAAAAGGAAAACAAAACAGTAGTATAGAGCTTGGTGAAGTCCTACCAGCTATTTTTCAAGAACCCTTATAAAGTACCTTGGTGAAGCTGGCCCTACTCAAGGTCTCCATCTTAGCTTTATAAGACCAGAAACCCAATTTTGGAGGGCGGGCATCAGAAGCAGATCTGTTAGTAACAGACACATAATCCAGCTCACATAATGAAGAGTCACAGTTCTGCAGATCCTGATGTTGAGCAGACAGGGATGCTCATTTCATCGGAGCCCCATGGCCATGTATATTGGAAATCAAAACATTGGATGTTTGGTGCATGGGAACTGGACCAAAGAGAATTAGCTGATATACTGTGAAGTATTTCTACCCCATTTGTTGACTGTGTCACAATGGACATCAAGTCTGCATTACCAAGACTTATCCCCTCTGGGTGGTATTTGAATGGGCACTGTCCCTTCCTGGTTCTTGGGGTTGCTTATGCTGATCTTTGCTACTTTCAACCAATTCCTCTCTGGCACAAAGGCTTTCACTGACCAGGACTAACCAAGAGCCCAATGTTGACAGCTCTAACAAATACAATGCAGGATACCCAGTTACATCTGAAGTTCAGATAAACCACATATAATTTTTAGCATAAATATATCCCAATGTTCCATTTAATATTTGGGCTACACTTATGCTAAAAATGACATGTGGTTTATCTAAAATCAAAATTTAATAGGAAATTCTCTATTTTTATTTGCCGAATGTGGCAATCCCAAAACTGCCTTCCTGAGCTTCCTTGTCTATTACATTGACTGGTAATAGTTTTAGGTGTTATAAAGCTTTTGATACACACACACACACACACACACACACACACTTTCTTGCTTTACCCATGAAAAATTAATAACATTATCCACATTTGAATTTACTGATTTGACTTTCAGAGAATCCTTCCTGATCTATAAGTTGTATATATGTTGGGGGTGGAATGGATCATATTATCATTAACCAGAATAGTATGAAATTGAATAACAATTTGGGGTAGGATAAAGGACTATTACAAATGAGTTCCTATCCGATTTCTTTACTTTTGCTGCATAGCTGAAACAATTTGCATTGAGGAAATGGGAGACAGACATTTTACTATGAGAGAAGGGTCATCTTGGAGAAGAAAACTTGAATGTTAGGCAGGTCTGAGGAGTAATATTCTGTAGTTGAGTATCATGTCAGAGGCAGAAAGGTACCAAAGAAACAGAATATTTCAGATTTGTGGGTAGTGCTGCCCCTAGCCAGATGCAATGGGACCTGGAATCTCTTCCTTTGGCTGTCTGTCCTATTCTGCTTGAACTTCTGGGCTTAGCATCCAGAACTCAGATTGTTTTTACTAGCATGACCATATACCAGCATTTGTGATAAATCCACTCAAATTTGTGGGCTCGCTGAAAAACTCACAATATTATAGAACACAATTTTTACAAGATGATGTGGGTAATTTTCAAACTACTGACTTAAAGAACGAATGTTGAAACATAGCTTCGTCAGGTCGAGTGAGAATTGGGTATTGTACCCAGGTGGAAGACCTAGTCTCAATGCAATGTATTACTTATTACATTGAATACACATAAAAACACATTGTATGGATTTGATTGAATTACAATCACACATTCTTCAACAAAACTCTTTGCTGACTTCCTTTCTGGAAATAAAAAAAACTAATATAGTCCGAAGAGAGGTGGAACGGATAACACATTGTATGGATTTGATTGAATTACAATCACACATTCTTCAACAAAACTCTTTGCTGACTTCCTTTCTGGAAATAAAAAAAACTAATATAGTCCGAAGAGAGGTGGAACGGATAACAGCGCATACCTGTGTACCGTTAACTGTAGGAGCCAAATATGAACAAGAAATCTCTGACTTCAAAGTGTTTACGAATAACTATATGCGACTAAGGCATTATAAAGCAGTGAGTTAATAAAGACAAGAGATGATGTAAAACCCTGTGGGGTTGTTCTAGAATGGGCTATTTTAGATTCCTAATACCTCTTTGCCCTCATGATTAGGAGATATAGAAAAAGCAAATTGAGTCCTGTAAGACTCAAGAATGGAGGTCATGAATTGCCTGTGACCACACTTGCCATCAGACCTTGAATAAATTACACCGTCTTTAGCCTCAACTTTCTCCCCTGTTAAGTGGGTATTACAATATTTACTTGTGCAGATTAAACAGTAATGAATGAAGCACCTAGTCTTGTGCCTGGTAGGAGTAGTGGCTCAATAAACCCTACTTCTTATTAGTACATGCTTTCAACTTTTTCTTTGAGTGATCGAGAAGGGTACATTTCGTGTAGAGTTACTTCAAGGGGCATGACTAAGACACACAGTTCTTGCAAAGAACGCTCTATAGCCTCCCATTTGCGCCTCTTGCCTTAATCAAGGGCCAGAGAAATTCGGGTTCTTGAGAAAATGTTGTGTTTTTTCCTGTAGGTACCTGGAGAAGCCCATTCGCAGCCTGGGTAAGGGGTCTCCGGAGGAGTCCTGGCGCCGGGACCAGAGCCCGAGCCGCCCCCGCGAGGGAACGGAGGCGGGGAAGTGGGCGCCGGAGGGGCGTGGGGCGACAGCATCGGGTGTCACAGCTAGCAGAGCTGGGGCGGGCACACCTATCCGCCGCCCAATCCCCAGCCGTAGCCGTGGCCTTATGAATAAGCAACGAAGCGAAACGCCCTCCCCCTGTCGTCCCAGACAGCGGAGGGAGTCGCCGCCGCTGCAGGGGCCGCGGCGGGGATGCAGAGCGCCAGCGCCGCCGCTCTCCTCCGCGCGCTGCTTGGCTGAAAGCGCACAGGTGAGGACGGGCCCGGCTCGTGCCACTCGGGAAGCCGCGACTGCAGACGTGGCGCCGGGGCAGGGATCGAGCTGAACCCGAGCCTGGGGCGGCGCGGGGTCGCTCTGGGAGCGGTGTAGCCCCGGGAGTTGTGCAGCCGAGGCGCGCCAGGCGTGCGCCCTGCGCCCCTGCCGGGACGCGGTGCCGGGGCACTGGGTGCTAGGGGGCAGCTCCAAGTGCGTTGGGCGCGGCGTGCAGGCCTCGGAGGACTCACCGCACTCCTTGCTCCAGCCCAGCCTCCCGGCTGCGCACCAGCGAACGGGCCTTTGTGCTGGCGGAGCTTACAGACTGGCTGCTTTTGTGTGGGCTTTCCCCCTCTTCTCTCTCTCTCTCTCCCTCCCCTTGCAATTCTACCTCGTTGGAAGTTCTCGAAGACTACGGTTTACGCCTTTCAAAGCATCGATCTCAGTGTAGCCTGTGCCACTCAGAGCCCAACTCGAGGAAGGATTGGGGGCTGTGGTGGCCACCGAAATGTGAAATATGCCCTGCCACTTTGCAGAAAACAAACAGTTGAGTGTTTAGTGCAGGGATGTCATGGAGCTTCCTTGCTCAATCACCACCGATCCTCCGGCTGGAGGATGCTCCCTGGAAAGGTCACTTAATTAAGAAGGGGGCCTGAGGGTTAGACTTGGAGGAGAGGAGTCTCTGCCTCTTGAGACTCTGGAATGGTTGAGAGGTGCTGCCCGGAGATGACCAGATATCACATGTGCGTCTAGGTCACTTACAGGACCCGACCTGTACAGATTCCAAACATGTAGAACACTGGTTAGCGAAGAAAGCAGTCAAACATAGGACCCTCTAGAGTTTGGGGTTCTCCAAGATGAGAAACTCTTTTTGCATTTCAAAGCCGACTCTTAGCATCTGTCGGGATCTTGGTACCTAATTTCAGTGCAGAACAAATGTGCAAGAAAACAGAGAAGGTTGCTTTAAAGTGTCTGCCTTCTTTCTTTGGAAGTTTTAGTTTGAAACGTATCGGGGAATGAGGAGTGGCTCACAAAACCATTCATAGAACTGCTCTGAAGGATTCTTCTCTGAGGAGCAAGTTGCGTGGTAGAATTTGCATGCCTCCTCCTTCTTTTTGTGGATTTCCTTGATCATAAGTGATACTGTTGGGCTGCTAGGAGTCTCCTTCAGCCAAGCATCTTCAAGTCACTGGCCGGCTTCTTTCTAAACACTTGCCGGCAGAACCCTACTTGAACATCTATCAAAAGACTCAAAACCGGTGAGGGTTCACAGTATCAGAATATTGCACTATTTTTTAAACCTAGTAGACATTTAAGGGTAGCCAGACTTGCTCTTCTGATTAAAGTAGGGTTTGTTATATTTGCCGTAATAATAAGCCAAGCTCTCATGAAGCAGACTTGATATTGATTGCTTTTTTTTTTTTTAATACACAAAACTCCCAAGGCTCACCAAGTCTAAGGTAGCTACAGCAACAGAGCCAATTAGGGAGACGTGGATTTGTCTTTGTTTTCAGGGAAGGCTTCTTACCATGTATTCCCCGTGTTTCCTGATAGATTTTTGTAGTATCATAATTTGGTATTACAGAACCAAAATGAAAAATCTGGGCTTGTATGTTATGGGAAAATTTTACTCTTTAAAGGTGTCCTTCACTCTTTATTCAGAAGATGTTTGCTTGAAAAGTTGTGTATGGCATTATATTTTTGTTAATCAAATTCTATTTATTTTCACATAAGTAAGCAGGCTGATGAGAACATCTGAGTTTAATCTGTAAGATAAAAATTCATTCTCTAACATGTTGGTCAATTCTATTTTTTCTATATTGTGTTTACTTGGAAATTATAAGAAAAGTATATGAATCTAGTTTCAGCTTCCCTTTAAATGCCAACTAGTGCTTAGAGATCTTGCCAAGCAAATGAGGTTTGTGAACCACAAAGAACAAAAATAAAGTGTTAAATTGGGTCATTGAAAAGAACTCTGTGGTGGATAGATAGCAGTTTACTGATCAATCTCAATCAGGACAGGATTCTGTAGACACCAAAGACTCTTAGGTCACTTCATCTATGTGAAAAGCTGAAAAGGGAAGCTCTATGGAAATATCTAGTGGAAAAATGGATATTCCATTTGGGACTGATGTTATGGAGTCACATTTTATGTTATGCTCACATTTCTGTATTTTGAGGGGCATGCATATCAGCACCACAGTAACATGGTTAATATTGCATACTTATTTTTAAAAACTGCTTTCATGTCTATTCTCATTTTTTTTGTTTTTGCCCTTAACTCTTTGAAGAAAATAGAATGAGCATTATTATTATTGTTTAGCATGAGCATTATTATCTCTATTTTTGTCACAAGAAAATTGAGCTTTAGTGATTTGCCTAAGGTAGAGCTGGAACTTGAAGCCTATTTTTTTTTTTAAATACCTTCAAGTCCTGCTTCTTTTAACAAAGAGAGAATAATGTTGTAGGGGTGATTAAGCATGGACACTTTCATTTATTTACATGGTTAAACTATAAAGACTAAAGCTGGTGGGCACAATATGGAGAACTTAGCTGTGATCTGTAGGGAGGGGAAAGCACTTTGTTGGTGTTGAACCAAGCATACTTCTCTGCTTTCCTCCTGAGGGACCATATTTTCTTTGTGGTTACTCCATTTTCCCTCTTCCACTGTGATGGAAAATGCTGCTGAAAGGATCATCTGTCATTCCAGCTATTTAATTTATAGTGAAGGATGGTTGCAGCCCAGATCTTAGAGCCATTATAGTAGACCAGTGACAGTTGTCAATAGCATGGTGAATCAGAGAGTGGTGTCTTAATGCCATGTACCACAGCTGGGTTTATAGGGTTTACAGTCTTGATAAGTTCAGGTTTAGACAAATGGAATAGTATTGGCAATGAGAATCTTAGGATTAAAACAAGACAAGATACGGCAGTGACAAAGGGATCATTGAGAATCAAGAAAAGGACAAATGGGAAAGATTATTAAGACACCAGCCAAGGAGAGGAGTGTTCTTTTTCCTCGTCAAAGAATCTTTGATTGGGTTTTGAAAGGTGTGGTGGTAATTGAAAAGCAAGTTCATCTGAAGCTCTAAGACTTGTTGCCTGAGACTGCTGATCTAGTGTGTGTGTGTGTGTGTGTGTGTGTGTGTGTGTGTGTATTGTGTGTGTGTGAGAGAGAGAGAAGTAAATTCTGAAAACCTAAAATATAGCAGAAAATTAGAAAATACCAATTATTGCTGTTATTAAAATGACACATTCAGTAAATAACCAAAATCAATCATGTGTTGAACAAAACAGTTACAGAAGGTTAGACCATGAAATGTTATTGACAGTCTTACCTTACAACATAGACACTCTGAACATTTGTTTTCCCATCCTTTAATGATTATTTATATTCACTAGGCCAGCAAATATTTATTGAATACCACCTCTCTCTACCTACCATTGCTAATAATTATAGGGCTAACAGAGGAAGCTCAGAGACAGATGTTTATGTGGAAGGAACACAGTCTTATTTGAGGTGACAAGACTTGATGATTTGTGGTAGAGAAGTGGGGAGAAGGTGGGAAGAGAATGCACCGGGCATTTTTGTGACAGCAGTTCTGTTGGGGGCAAGGGTTTGCATATTCGAGGTAAAGAAGAAAAAGGGGTGTTGGGGCTAATGTAGTGGTATTAGCAAAGTTTAGGAGCCTGAACTGAGTGTGGCATTTAAGAGGGGACTGTACCTGGCTGGGGATGGTACTTGTACTTGGCACTGGTGGTGTGAAATTTATTTAATAGATATGGTATTTGGGAATTGTAAGTTTGGGGATATTATATGATGTGTTTTTGGGAAGGCAACGAATTGAGGTGGTAAAAGCAGGGACCTTGAAGTCTGACGGAATCCAAAAGATCAAAAACAGACGTTATCACTTAAGTGAATTATGCTCTGTGCCTGCAGATTTATCATCTAAAAAAAATGGGGGATCATGGTAGTACCTACCTTATCAGGTTGTTGTAAGGATTAAATGATTTCCATAGTCAGGTCTAACACTTGGCCCATGGCATCTGTCAAAGGGTAGTCATTTTGATTGATCATTGTCATTTTTATTCTGAAGAATAAACCATCTGGACTGTATAAAATGGGTAAGAGAGGAGAGAGTGTGGACACGGTCACCCATTAAGATGCAATTAAGTTAATGACAATCCAATGAGGTGACTGGAAGGGGATGATTCCAAGAGACATTATGGGGGAAGGACTCACAGAAGTTGTGAATCGAAAATGTAAAAGAGGAGTTCAAGCTGACAGCAAAGTTCAGATGAAGAAGATGGTTATGTTGGAGGTGGCATTCAAGTCGATGCTGTCTCTGAAAGAAGAAGAAAGAGCTGGAACTTGAAGGTCATCTGTCAGTATATCAGAGTTGTAGATGTGTTTCTACTGCTGTCCCTACAGACTGTCTTTTCTAGTTCTTTTACAGTTCAGGCATTGCTTTGAATTGCGTGGAGAAGGAGAAGATGGCCTCTAATATTTGAAGGTAGCAAAGCTTGCATTCATCCCTACTATCTTTCCTAACAATGAAAATCAGATTAGGTATCTTTCCTCACCCCACAGAAGCTATTTACAATATTTGTTTTATCATAAGAAAGGAAAAGTAGATTGTCACCAGTTTACTGTACAGCCCTCCTGCATCCTGAGAACCCTTAAGGCAGTATTCATGTGCCTTATATATTATACATGAAACTCTGTTTACCTTGGAGAGAGTAGCTTTGTCATCAGTTATGAGAATAGTTCAACATGCTGTTTTCCCCTTTGTGTCTTCAGTTTGGTAGCACACTGATATAGCGTTATCCATTTCAGTTGGAAAAACACTGATCAAGTATTTAGAAAATCTGAATAAGTCCAAGGCTAAAACTATTTTTTTTTTAATGTCGTCTTTCATTTGTCTTTGAAACTTGAATATGCCTGGACTTGACAAAGAAACAGACTCTGGACTGTATCTGTTTAAGATTGTCAAAGATAATGCTTGACAGAGAGCTTATCTGCCCACTGGTGGCAAAATGCAATAAATTGTTCAAGGCCTGCCAAGCCATTAGGATACCTTGATAGTGAATGACAGACACAGTGCTACTGACTTGCTCTGAAGGGGATGCTTTTAAAAGCTATTTGAAGCTAATATCCACTATCAGAAACTTGGTTTGAGTTTATTTATCTGAATTAATTTGCCTTGACAGAGAGAGGGAAGAGAAAGCAGCATCCAAAGACACAGCATGAAGGAAAAGAAAGAAAAGTGTTCTTTTTGTTTGCTTGTTAAATATTCTTATGACTAAGTTAATTTAAGACACAGAATTCAAATAAGCAATGAAATCTTCCCTCTTTCCACCTCTCGCAGCGAAGTGGGCTCTAGACATTCATCTGTTTGTTCAGCCAATATTTACTAAGCATTTCCTCTGTGCTGGGCACTTGGCCACATAAGGTTTAAGCATTCTGCAAAAAAGAAAAATATGGTTGCAGATGGTTATTTAGGTTGAGGTTTATTGTCACTGAATTGACAATGGTCATTCTTTTCCTATTTGTTTTCTAATGTCATGCAGTTTCTATTGTGGGATTCCAAACTCATGAGAGTGGCTAGGTGAACTTGCACTGGGCCTCGAAAGATGAAGAAAGACCTGGAGCTTGAAGGTCATCTGCCAATTTATCTGAGTTGCAGATGTGTCTCTTTCTGCCGTTCTTACAGGCTGTCTTTTCTCCTTTTAAAGTTCAGGCAATGCTTTGAATAGTGGGGAGAAGCAGCATATGGCCTCAATACATAGCTAGAAAAGGCTTGTGGTTCACCCTCACTTTTTCCGCTGTAATTGGATTTAGAAAGCAGGTGGCCGGCACTTAATCACAGAAGGAAAGTCTTTTAGAGCCATGGCAGAATTCCCTTTACACAAAACTCCTGAAACTCAAGATGTAGATGACAATAAGACCTTGAAGAAAAATTCTCTTCTGGAAAGGCAATTGGGGCTATATTAAAGCTTATTCTTTGTTCCCTTTTTCCTCAATCTGATTTATTCATAAAATTCTTCTCTCAGCCCATATGACTGCAAAACATAAAATGTGCACCACCTGCTCAGTCATGTGGTTGTCTTACCTCCTGGATGGCAGAATCGGGGAAATATTTGTATTTCCATTTTATGTCATATAGCTATGAAAATAGAATCATGAAGGTAGAGGAGATTTCAAAGATTTTTATGCTTAGCTCCTGGTTGTTTTTGGAGGAGAAGCTGAAGTTACTTGTCCAGGATCACATATGGCAAGTTTTTAAAACAAGAAGGCTAAAATTCAGAAATCATTGTTCTGATGCCATTCTACGTTCATCTAAACTTCATGATGGTCTGGTTTTTTTCAGTTTTTTTTTTTAATATTATTTAGCTGTCAATGGATCTTTATTTTATTTATTTATATGCCATGCTGAGAATTGAACCCAGTGTCTCACACATGCTAGGCAAGCGCTCTTCCACTGAGCCAAAACCCCAGCCCCCTTTTCAGGTTTTTATACAGAATCCCAGGATCATGTTGAACAAACTTTTAGGCCACACCTGTGATGTTTTGGGATGTTTAGCAAGATTTTATTGAATGAGCAAAGTATTTGTTCAGAAACAAAAAGATGTCTCAATAGAGCTAAAATTAACTAGAGAGTTTTTTTTTTTTTTTTTTTTTTGGTAATGGGATTGAATCTATGGGCACTTTACCACTTATTTGTATCCCTAGGCCTTTGTATTTTTTTTATTTTGAGGCAGGACCCACTAAGTTGCTGAGGCTTTTGCTAAATCACCCAGGCTGGTCTTGAACTTGCCATCTTCCTATTCAGCCTCCCAAGTAGCTGGGATTACAGGTGTGCGTCACTGTGCCAGATTGAAATGGACCGTACAGTTCATAGTTCAACTTGTCTGTACAGACATTTAAAGGTGTGGGTTTCCTTTGCTGTGAACACACATGCTTCACAGCTCTCTCAAATGTTTTCCTTTTAAAGAAGAAAAGTAAAGGCAGTGCGCCAAACACTACAGAGATCTGTTACCTGACTATGAACTGTGATGCCTTCTGGCTCATCTAAAATATACTGACTTGCCTTGGCACATGCTATTCCTTCTTTCTCCATTATTTTTTTCCATATTTTCTCCTTTTAAAATGATACTAGCACCGGGCATTGGGGTGCATGTCTGTAATCACAGCCGTTTGGGAGGCTGAGGCACAGAGATTGAAGTTCGAGGCCAACCTCAGCAACTTAGAGAAATCCTAAGCAACTTAGTGAGACCCTATTTCAAAATAAAAAAAAAAATACAAAGGGCTGGGAATGTGATTCAGTGGTTAAAAGAAAAAATCCTCTGGGTTCAATCCCCCATGCCGCCCCCCCCCAAAAAAATCCTAGCTACCTGTATATAAAGTAAAATTGTTTCAAACCCCTATTCTATATCTGGAGAAACAGCATCCTTCTCACCACCTCTGGATTCTGTTTCTCCTAGTCACCTCTGGCTTCAATGTTCTTTTATTGTTGACTTCATGATCCTTGATAAGCTTTTCCTTTTATTTCATGTGGTGCCATGACAACTCATGACACCATTCTTTTCCCATATTTCCTCCAAACACTGGATTCAAGATTTCTGTGTGGCAAACCATCCCCAAATTTAGTGACATAAGCAACAACTCTTCATCCTTTCATACCATGTCTGTGCATCAGGAATTTGAGAGTAACGTAGCTGGGTGGTTCTGGCTAAAGATCTCTCAAGAAAGCTTGTTGGTGCTAGAAGACTTGGGGCTCCCAGAGGGCTATTCAGGTGGTTGCGGAAGCTCAGCTCTGAATTCATGGATTCCTCTTTTCTCATATATATATAAAAATTCAGCCTTCTTTTGGTCTTTGCTGTTTAGATCATGCCCTGAGCACTTGACCTTTTTTCCATCTTAAAAGGATCTTTCAGACTAAACGGGATAACGTGAGAAAGCTTTGAAATCCTAAAGGGGAAAAGGCCCATGAAAATGTGAATGTCTTTCACAAGTGCACATCATGAGCTTAACTTAGAGAGTTTAATGATTAGACATGAAAGAAAGGAAAGTGTAGCTTTTGTAAAGACAAGGTTTTTACTTCAGAATTTCAATTCTTAGGTTTACTTTTCTAGAAAACCTGCAGTATCTTCGAGGTTTTTTTTGTTTTTTTTTTCTTTTTTCCTTTTTGTCATGCTGGGGGGATCAACATTTGAGAATTTTCCAATGATGGGAAGAGAAGGGGCCTTACTCAGCAAAAATAGATGACAAGAATGAGAACCCTTGGTTTTGGGGGGAAATTAGCAGTTTGAAGACAGTTTTAATTGTAGCAAGAATATGAATAGTTTATTTGAAAGAATACAGTAAATCTTGCATTAATGGTTATTCAGTAAGATGGCTAATTTTAAAATGTATTTTTTTTCCTAAAAATACATTTATTTATATTGCTTATTTATTGTATTTTTTTCTGCCTTACAAATTTTGAAATATGAAGTTTTTGCCATAATTTTTATAGTTGTTTCAGAGAACAAGAAATGATTTAGCATTTTAAGGGTATTTTAATTGAAAATCATCTAAATGTTTCTTTAAATTCTTGAAAGCAACTAATATCCAGCTTTTTATGATGATATTTTACAGGTTTTAAAACATACTTGTCTTAGCCCATTTGTACTGCTATAACAAAATACCATAAGCTGGGGAGCTTATATTCAATTCCCAGCATCAAAACAAAACCCCAAGCCCAAAACTGATTTCTCATAGTTTGGGAGGCTGTGAAGTTCAAGATCAAAGCACCAGCAGGTTTGATGTCCAGCTAGAGGGACTGGCCCATTGAAGGTTCCTTTTCATGTGTTTTCACATGGGGGAAGAGGTGAGGGGGTGACTGGAGACTCTTTTGTAGTGGCACCGGGGCCATTCATCAGGGCTGTCTTCATGATCTTAGGACTTCTCAAAGATGATTAAATTTCACCATATTAATTTGAGGTGGGAGACACAAACAATCCAACAATGGCAACACTTAAAAAGTTCTATGAATGAATGTGTAACATCTACTTTATACATCCTGGACATATTGCTGTTTCTGAGTCATTTGACTACATGATTATTAGAGAATTAAGATAAGATATTGCAAATGTGACTTCAAGGGTAGTTTATTTCAAGTAGGTGTTTGAGAAACAATGAACTTCATACTTGAACTGTGTGTACTTTTTTCTAGGGAGCTTCAAGTTAAATGAGCTACAGAATTCAGCAGGGAAAAATGAACTGGGTTATCCATGTCCCAAGGGTACAAAGAAATAGAACAGCCCTCTCTTACATACCTTCTCTGTGTGTGAAGTTAAGCATTATTTTACTTATGGTTTAAGTTAAAGGGACTTATTTACAAAATATATTTACATGACAGTTTGATATGCTTTATTTTTCTGCAGGACTCAATTACTGGAATTGTCAACTCTACCAATTTAAGGCACATTTCTCTTTCACTATGAGCAGACCAATTGTACTGAGCATTTTTCTGGCTTTCTGTAGCCTTCTTTTTCTCAACTTTGCCACACAATGTCTGGCCTTCCCCAAAATGGAAAGAAGGGAGTTGGTACATGTTCGTGCAGAAGAATGGCAGCCTGAGAGGATGAACACAGATGACCTGGAAAACACCTCCATTACTCCGAAACAGACTCCTCAACTGGTGTTCTCTGAAGAAGATCAAATGGTAGTGTCAACAGGACCATCAGCAGTGCCAGTAAATGAAGTACTCTTATTTAACAAAGAAACCCATCCCACAGGAACTGGACTCCAGCAGCCTGACAGCCCTGGTCTTTCCACTGTCACTGAACCAGTGGTCCCAGCAGGTGACCAAGTGTTTGGTTCCAGCCAGCCGGAGAAAATGTCTCCTGAAAGCAGACTTTCCAAGATCATGTTAACTGTCCCTATCACTGAGACTGCTTCACTGAACACTGGCAAGAAGGAGGAACCCTTGAGCAGTACCAGCATTCAGCCCATTGCAGAAGGGACCACAGAAGCAACACCAGGTTTTGTGAAATATGTGAACCATCAACTGTTTGTAACTGAAAATCAGGATGGAGTCAGTCTCGGGGATTCACCTTCATCCCTTAAGAATGCTAAAGAAATGCTAACCACCAATCCAAGGACAGAGAAATCTGAAGCAGACATGGATCAGAGAACCACTTCTTTTCCTGGTGCTGAGTCTGGAAGCCTTCTGCTGGATGGGGAGAAGCTCCTGCAGAAGATGGCTGATCATACCCAGGCTACTGCCACCGAGCACTTGCTGGTGACTTCTGAGTATGCCCTGAGTGTTGGTTCAGAAACGGATAGCTTGCTGGGAGCCCCAGAAGTCACAGAAAGTGTCAGCAGAGCTGTTCCAGCTGCCTCTATCTTAAGTGATGAGTGGGATGATACCAAGCTGGAGAGTGTAAGCCAGATACGGACCCCAATGCTGGAAGACAATACAGACACTCAGGTGAGAATGGAGCCCTTGCAGACAGAGAGCCAGGAGGGGATGGAAGAGGGTCAGCCCTTGACAGAGGCTGCAGAAGTGTCTCCGGGGCTGCCTGAAGAGGAAACAGACATGGGGACAGCCCTGCTAATAGCGCAGGGGGAGAAGAAGTCACCCACCTTCATCGATCAAAGTTCCTTCACTCCCATAGGTCTGATGGAAGATTCCGAAGTTTTCTCTGTGCACATGTTCCAAAATATGGGAGGTTTCGAGGAATCCACCAAGGAAAACAGTGCCATGTTTTTGTCAGAGACTACTGTGTCCATCTCAGAATATGAGTCTGAGGCATATCAGCTGTTGGGAAATGCATTGAAAGGTAAAAGAAAGAAAGAAAAAGAAACAAACAAACTTTGTTTAATTTGGAAATCTTTCAATTTGGCTTTATTTTTTTTAATATTTATTTTTTGTTATAGTTGGACACAATACCTTTATTTTATTTTATTTTTTGTGGTGCTGAGGATTGAACCCAGGGCCTTGAATGTGATTGGCGAGTGTTCTGCTGCTGAGCCACAACCCCAGCCCTGGTTTTATTTTTAATGGCAATTTAGAAATAGATTATTAAAGTTTTAAGGAATAGCTAAAGTATTCACATCAAATCAATGTGGTGGAGATTACACCAAACTATAACCCCTGCATATAGACAGACCAGGGGTCTATAACTGGGGATAACTTTGCCCACCTCCCCACCCCTACTTCCTGCCCAATGGGACATTTAGCAATGTTTGGAGACTTTTTTAGTTTTTATAACTGAGGGTTGCTACTGGCGTTTAGCGGATAGAGGTCAAAGTTGTTGCAGAAACATCCTTTAGTACAGCACCCCCACCCCACCCTCAATAAGGAAGCATTCAAGGAAATATATTAATAGCATTGAGATTGAGAAACTCTGATATAGATGGATAGTTTCCCAACATTTTACAGTGAAATGTATAAATATACAAGAAAATGTGAAAATGTTAACTATATACTTAAATAGTGTAATAATGTAGATATTTATGTACTCATTGTTGTAAAATGTATTCGCATCTCTGATATTTCTTACAAAAAATCTTTAGGTAAGTATTTATCTCATAGTTTTAACCATATGAGTCCTGTGACTTTATTTACTCCCAAATAAATCATCCAGAAATAAGTGGGGTGGGGGCACATGGATCATCTGCTGACTTGATTCCACATTTCCTACTTTTTCTTGGCCTTTTCATCTGTGAATATGACAAGCTGATAAGCCTTATGTTTGTTTTTGATGGACAATGTTTTTCTTTTATTATATGTAATTAGTCAGATAATAGTGTTGGGAAGGAGAAGCTTAGCATCGAATGCATTTGCTATTTCAAATTATTTTTGAACATGTACAATGTTTTACTTGAGCCAAGTAGCTCAATTAGTGGAAAATATCAAATTTATAATGTTTTATAAAGTGTTATTGGGATTTAATTAGAATGATAGATCATTTGATAAGTGATAAAAGGAAGATTTAATTTTATTTTTTTAATTCATTTTTTTCAAGACTGAAAGAACTGGTATACTGTAAGTTTTCATAGAAACTTCCAAAAAAATGTCTTGTAAATAGACTTTTTAGTAATGTTAAGAAAGTTGGGTTCACATAACTATGAAGATATTAGATATGACTGAACAAGAACATTACTTTAATTATCTGTAACATGTATAAGATGTTTCTGGAGCATTAAGTCAGCCCCAGATTATACATTGTGCAACTGAATCCATGATTCTTATGTACCAGTCTTGTATTAGCTTCTGTAGATAGAGGCTAAAAAGTAAAATGGATTTGATAATTATCTGTTTATTTTGGTTATTGAATATGTTCCTTGGTTATAACCACTTCACTTAACTACAACCTTTTAACAGGCAACTTTTTTTTTTTTATTCCCAGAGCAGAGCATGTTATTTGGCCAATTGTAGGTGTTCAATAAGCATAAGTTCAATGGCTATATAAATAGAGACCCATTCAGACTGAGATCATTAGATTTGATTGCTTATCTTGTCCAAATCAAACAATTTTTCCGTGTTCTTTGTAGAGAGAGGAACAGTCAATTCCCTTAATTTTCTTGGTGTTCAGAGTTAGAGAATATGAAAGTTGCTATTATACACAGCAGTAGTTATAGAATAACCAATTTTTTTTCTGTTTTCTGAATATTGTGTTGTTGTTGTTTTTTTTTTTCTGAAGGAAATAATCCAAATGCCAATCACTTTAGGGCCCAAAGACCACTGAGGACATTATCTTTTTCAGGGTATGCAATGATTCCTTGGTGTTTTGGACATGATTAAGAGATGAGTACTTTGGGATTATAGTCAGTCCTCAGATTCAGCTGGTTCAACAGGAGATAAGGTTTAAAAAATATTCTATAGTGAGTATTATATTCTTTTTTTCTCTACAGTAAGTAGGAAGAGTGGGAGATGTTGAGAAATTCCTATTACTGTTGAAAGTTCCATTCCTATTTCTGGTTCTCTTCTTCAGCAGTTGTTGCTTGTTAAGATGCTATGCATTTTGATATTCTTGTTCTTCCATAAAACTATGAACATAGAGCCAGGCATGGTGCTACAGTGCCTGTAATCCTAGTGGCTTGTGAGGCTAAGGCTGGAGGATCATGAGTTCAAAGCCGGCCTCTGCAACTTAGTGAGGCCTTAAGCAACTTAGTGAGACCCTATCTCTAAAGAAAATATATGAAAACATGGGCTGGGGATGTGGCTCAGTGGTTGAGTGCCCCTGGGTTCAATCTCTAGTACCCAAAACAAAAACAATAAAACAAAACAAAACAAAACAAATGAAAAACAATTATGAACATAGGCTTTAGATGTATTTTTTACATGTTCTCCAAAATGTTCATTATGCATTCAAAATTGAGGACGATGGGAAGAACACATGCTACTTAAATTGACAAAACTGTATTATTGTTTTTCTTGTGGCAAACAGAGCATTGTCCTAGGTGCTGGAGATACCAAAGGGAATGACTCCTGGCTGTCAGGAGATGCATAGTCTTAGTGGAAAAAGAGAGAAGAAGGAAAAATCTTAAACAATGGTATAAAGAGCAGATTCAAAACTCAAATAAGAGCTAACTCAATTCCCTTATTCCATAATCAGTTCTATCAAGAGTAAAAATATCTAGAATTCAAAAGAGAAAATAGTCCAAATTGGAAGGAAAGGAAGGACTTTTACCAAAAAGCATACACTGTTTTAAAGCAAATAAATTGTTTATTTTTTTTAAAAATTAAGGTAATGAGTTATAGCATGATGTCATTAATGAAAACTTTCTTTGGCTACACCTATAATGTTGTTTTTTCATGTACAACTTATTGAACTTGTTTATATGCTATTTATTTAGAACAAGTATTTTAAGAAAGAGACAATAAGAAATTAAGACAATTAGAAATTAGGTAGATGCTAAGTAGTTGAAATTTCCAGCATAGACCCTCCCTAAGAAGATGGCAAGTCTTTGTCCTTATAGATAGTCTTTAATTATGTATTTAAGGAAAATGCAACATTGTAGAGAAGGTGGACCTGTGACAGATAATGGCTCATTCTATATCTCTGTTTCATTCCCTTTTTGAATCTAAAAGCAAATACAAGTATTCTGCAGTGACCACTCCATTTCACTCGTTGGGCATAATTCACACAGTGGTTAAGAGGGCTGGCTGTGTAACTGCAGGCAGCTTCCTTAGGTTTTTCAAACTTAAGTTGTTCTGTAAACTGGGGCAATTTAGATGGTATTTATTGAATAAATAATTTTTTGTTGCTTGTTAAGATGCTATGCATTTTGACATTCTTGTGTTTTACAAAGATTTAATCTTTTACAAAGATTAAATCTAATTTAATCTTTGTAACAACTCTATGATATAGATACTGTTGTTATTCTCACTTTACAGTTAAGTAAACTCAAGGTCGAGATGTTACGTATGTGATTAGGATCACAGCTAGTAAGTGACTGAGTGAGAATTCAGACCTAGGTAAACTGACTGGCCCATGTTTTGACCTATGTTATTACAGTTCCAGAGAATAGTGTTATATCCACCTCCCCTTAGTACAAATGGGAGGAAAACATAAGACAATGCACACCTTGCACTTATTACTGTGTGTGTGGCTCATAATAGAAACTCAATAAACATGAGTTATTGTAATATTATTCCTTTATTTTAAAAGGCTGACTTCCCTTTCCTCTTCAGAAATGCAAATGTGAAAATTAATATACACAAATGCTTCTGAGAATTTTTTAGCGTAACTTAGTACTGTATAATTTGTTTCTTAAAAAAACAATTATGTTAATATTCCAGTGTGGCTGGGAGGGAGCACAGCTGTTGATTTTCCTGCTTTGTTTTGGATTTTATTGTAGTTTTTCACATTAATTTCTCTATCTCTTCTTTAATTGATTCACAACTCCTGAAAGCAGCAGCAGTGACAACATTCATTCATTGGTCTTTTATTTATGAATTCTCCTTTATTTTTCCAAATTATGAAATAGCTCTCTGTCTCCCTGCCCCCTAATTTATTAATTACATAGTGAGCTTAAGGTATGGGAATTTAGCCTATTTTTAAATATTTTTCCCCTTTTAAGACATCGTCACTCAAGAGATGACAACAGCTACTCAAGAACCAGAAGCCACTTTATCCCTGGTGACACCAGAGCAGGTGACCAGAGACAGTGAAGAGACTGAGGAAGGCAAGGAGTCCCCCCTTCTTGCCTCTGATGTACCTGGTGTTACTCAGCTGTCCAGACAATGGGAGCCTCTGGCCACTACAGTGTCAACCACAGCCATCCCTTGGTCTCCCAAAGTTACCCCTGCTGCAGAAGGTAAGTGACAAGGAACAGAATGTGGCAGCTGACTCTATCACCAGCATATAGGCATACACCCCACCTGGAAAGGTGGGAGAACTTTTTTAATTTGCAGAGATATGGCACAGCCTAGAATACAGAGGGCTCATTTCCAAGTAAAACCTCCTGGTGGCTTACCTCTGGGTCCCTGGAAGGCTGGATCTCTTGACAACTGTCTCCTTCTTCTACAAGGCTGCTGTTAGAAGCCAGGGTGGGGAAGGTGAAAACAGCAAGGACCTGGGTGGGACTGTCACTAGCATTTGTGGACTCAAGCCCGTTTCTTAACTTCTGTAAGAACTGTTTTGTTCATTTCTCAATAGTGCCTACTTATAGGTTATTTGGTAGATTTGAAATAATGTGTACAAAGTGCTTTCTGTACAGCAGGCTCCCAAATGCTCTCTCTCTCTCTCTCTTTTGTTTAATATTTATTTTTTAGTTGTAGGTGGACACAGTACCTCTATTTATTTTTATGTGGTGCTGAGGACTGAACCCAGGGCCTCACACGTGCTAGGTGAACGCTCTGCTGCTGAGCTACAACCCCAGCCCCTGCTCTCATCTCTTAAGGGCAATGAAGTTTTCAAATCTGGCTGATTATCAGAATCATTTGGAAATTTTAACAGTTATTTTACTTATTTATTTATTTTTATGGTGCTGGGGATTGAACTCAGGGCCTTATGTATTCGAGGCAAGCATTCTATCAACTCAGCTATATCCCTAGCCCAATGATTATTATTTTAAAATTGTCATTTATGGATCTCTGTCTCATTATTGGTCCAAGTAAGACTTACTTTTAAGTATTTATTGCGCTATTTTTAACAATGTAATAAATAATTTTAATCCTACTTCCTACTCGTCCACCACCTGCAAGCAAATAAAACAAAATGAAAAAACTAAGGCTTTGACAATAATCTACATGGAACCCCATGACTCTTTGCATCTCAACTTGTTCTTCTCCTGGCTGGTAACTGTCTTCCTGAATCTTGTTTTCATAATTGCCCCCACTCTCTCCCCTCACCCCCAATTTTATTGCATCTATATTTACTTCTATAAGTAAACATTTAAACATCTTAGAAATTGTTTATTTATTTATTTATTTATTTTTGGTACTGGGCATTAAACCCTGAGGCACTTTACCGTTAAGCTACATCCCCAGCATTTTTTTTTTTTTTTGTGGTGCTGGGGATTGAACCCAGCCATTTTTTATTTTTCATTTGGAGGTAAAGTCTTGCTAAATTGCTGAGGCTGGCCCTGAACTTGTGATTCTCTTGCCACAGCTTCCTGAGTTGTTGGGATTACAGGTATGCACCCCCCATCCAGCATAATTTTTAGAAAAAAAATTTGCTTTTAAGTTTATAAGAGAAAATTGTTCTACAGATGAACTTTTGGGGCTCACAGTTTTTATTTAATATTCTGTGACTAATATCTTCTTCTTGCAGTTCTTTTCTTCAAGGACGGATAACATCCCACCATAGAAATCTATCAGTTCATTCATCCAATCGTGTATCTTAATACATTTCTGTTAAATTTTCTGCCTTTGGTAATAGATTGTGCACCATCCTGCAATAGAATAGATGAGAGATTTAAAATTTAAAAACGAAGTTTTGATTTGAGGCAATGTATTATCCTGGATGATAAAGTGTTTGCTGTGGACAGTGGGATTTATATGAAATGGTAGGGGGAGCTGGTCTAAATACTGAACTTACTGTGTGTGTGAGATATTGGTTTTGTTAATCATATTTTGCCTAAAAGGTGAAAGCACATGTTTACATTTTCCATAATGCATGATGATCATCTTGTGGGTCAAGTCCTATCTCTTGTGTTTGGCAGACCTAACAGACACAGTCACTGGGCCGAGTGAGGATCTGGCACTAGTTTTGGGCTCTCTGGTGACACCCCCTGGAATAATGGTGGAAGTGCCCAGCATTTCTCCAACGTTTCCTGCTTTGGAGGCATCACCTGAGAGAACAGTTCCATCCGTGAGTGGCACTAATACAGCTGCCTCATATGGCCTGGACCAACTTGAATCTGAAGGTATCCCTGCTTTGAATGGAATCTTTCTCAGGGTGGAATGAGTGAGAATCTGAGGAAATGTTTTTGAGAAAAGATTAAGTAGAAGTGTATTCAGTCGGCAGGGCAGATCAGGAGTTGGTAGACTCTGGCCTAGCCAAATCTGGCCTGTTATCTGCTTTTGTATGGTCTGTAAGCAAAGAATGGTTTAAAAAATATTTAAATGATTGAAAAAAATATCAAAATAAGAAGAATATTTTGTGACATGTAAAAGTTATATAAAATTCAAATTTTGATATTCATAAATAAGTAAGGCTGTATTAGTACACAGTCAGGCTCATTTATTTATGTGTTGTCTATGGCTACTTTGTATCATGGCAGCAGAATTGAGAAGTTGTTATAGAGACTAAATGGCCCAGAAAGCCCAAAACATTTAAAATATAGCACTTTACAGAACAAGTTTACAATCTCAGGTATACATCAGTGATTTACAACTGCTGTTGAACATTAGAATTACCTTGGAGGCTTTTCATAAATGTCAATGCTTGAGTCTCTCTCACAGTGATTCAGGTTAAATTGGTATAGGGTAGGATCTGGCATCAACATTTAAAAAGAGTACCTGAGAAGAATCCAATTTTTAGGCAGGATTAAAAATACTTGGTTTAAATGGAAAAGATGAATTTCCTCACTAAATGTCCTTGGATGGAAATTTTATTGTCTATATTTTTTTAAAGATTATGTGTTATTTATTTATTTATTTTTAGTTGTTGATGGACCCTTTATTTATTTATTTATATGTGGTGCTGAGAATTGGACCCAGTGCCTCACACATGCCAGGCAAGTGCTCTACCACTGAGCCACAACCCCAGCCCCTGTCTGTTGTTTTTTAACAACATTGTTCTGTTGATGCTGGGTTATGCCCTCATAGGTAAGTATATTCTTGTATTAGTCAGCTTTCTATCTTTGTGATAATATTCCCCAGAAAATCCACTTAAGAGAAATAAATGTTTATTTTGGCTCATGGTTTTAGAGATTTCAGTCTGAGGTCTCTTGGCCAAATTGCTATGGGCCTGTGATGAGGGAGAACATCATGGCGGGGAGCACATGACAGAGCAGAGCTGCTTATCTCTTGTTAGTTGTGAAGCAGAAAGAGAAAAAGAGAGGGAGGGGAGGGACACGATACACCTTTCAAGGGCATGCCACAGTGACCTATTCCTCCAACTAGACCCCACCTCCTAAAGTTTCCAGTACCTCCCAATAGCCCCAGCAGTTGGGGACTAGACTTTTAATTCATGAACTTTTTTTTTTCTTCTTTTTTGTCTCTGGGGATTTAAACCAGGGATGCTTCTACCACTGAGCTACATCCCTGGTTGTTTTTATTTTTTGAGACAGATCTCACTGAGTTGTCTAGGCTGGCCTCAAACTCGCAATCCTCTTACCTCAGCTTTCTGGGGATATAGGTGTAAGCCACCACGCCCAGCAGTACATGAGACACTGGGGGACATTCCAGACCTATACTACAACAATTCTCCTATTTCTCCAATAGGCAGGCTTTTGATGTACTAAGACTGAGAACTTCATGCCAAATTACACTTTCCAAGACTTTGGGTTTGAGCATGAAAAAGATAGTTGGAACACAGCACATCAACCACACAAGATTAGAAATATAAACCATAGTGATGTAATTACTGTAATCAGCATTTTGATAGGTGAACAATACCTGGCTGGAGTTGTAAAATGCCCAGAGAACTGTCATATAGGTAAACTAGTTAGGTAAGCTCTAGGGCACTAAATTAACCACATGTTTGATGTAGTAATGACACATATGTATGTGTTATCTACTGTGGGAAAGGTGGCTTAGCTAGGTTTGCAGGAGACTTTGTTGCAGATTTTCAGGGTAATACTGGTAATGTGCTCACAGAGAAATACGACATTTTAAGAAAAGCGTGGAGAATTCCACTGTAGAATACTCAGTTAAGAAATGGACCAAAACGGGCTCAGAGGCTAATGCCTCTTGCACTCCACATGAAGATAAATACCATCTGACTTTGATTTTAGTGTGTCATATATCTGTCTGCTCTCCTTGATGCCATCTGGAAAAAGCAGGTTTCCTCAAATTAACCTGAGTTACAGATGACAGCTCTAGTTGGCAGAGCTCATTAAATCACAGGGAAAAATTATATTTGTGAATAATCTATACTTGTGAAACTGCAGTGATTTTCTAAATTTAGTAGATGATGGCAGTTGTATTGAAATATGTTAGAATTTTCCTGGTGTGCCTAAGATGTCCTGGGGCTTTAGTTCTTTTCTTCTACACAGCTCCATTTCAACTTCTTTTTGAGAACATATTTTGTCAGTTTTTGATCTAAATTATGATCCTTGTCAAGGCTTCTGAAAGACATTTTTGGTTAAAAGTTATTCTTCCTGCTACATTGTGGGGCTTAACGTTTGGAAAGAGCACATGATTTTCTCTAAATGGTGTACAGGGTGTGCAATTTATGTTTAATTAGTCTGTATTAATATTATCACAATTAATTTATGCTGGTGAATCTAATGCTTGGAAAGCTGAAGAGAGTGCACTTATTTAACAGATAACCCTACTGTACACTGGTATTTTTTTAGTCAAGGGTTATAAATACAGTTTGAGGTGTTGACTGCTTGAAGCATTTACTTTTTGCTGTACTTGGAATTAAACCCAGGACCTCAAGCAAGCTAGGCAAGCAGTGTACCACTGAGCCACATCCTCAGCCCCAAGGGGCTTAAGCATTTTAATCTACTGTAGGATTATATCCAGAGGAAGAGAATTTATTTTTATCCAGAACAAAATATTACTTATGTCAAGTTATCTTTAGTTGCCTTTCAAGTTTTAATCTCTGTGATGTGTTGACAAAGGACATAGAAGTCTTTCATTTAAGATGTGTGTTTTATTATGTCATTAATCTCTTTATATGTTATCTTAATGTCTTCCTTCCCACTAGGAGGCAGGAACATTTCTTCAGGGAATGAAGTATTTTTTCTCAATGGGATATGGAAGGGGACATGCCCTTGTTAGATACCAGACACCCATGGACAGAGAACCTTTGTGGAAATTTCTAAATCCACTGTCCTGTTAATCCTCTAGATAAAATTAACAGTCCAAATCAGTCTAAAAATTATAACTACTTGCTGCCCTGTCTTCTTTCCATCTCTCCAACATGATGACTGAAAGGGTAGATTAATTTCCCAGGGCTGCCATAACAAAGTGCACAAACAGGATGGTTTAAAATAAAAGAAATTGCCAGGAATGTTAGTGCATACCTGTCATCCCAGCGGCTTGGGAGGCTGAGGCAGGAGGATTTCGAGTTACAAAGACAGTCTCAGCAATGGCAAGGCGCTAAGCAACTCAGTGAGACCCTGTCTCTAAATAAAATTAAAAATAGGGCTGGAGATGTGGATCAGTGGTTGAGTGTCCCCGAGTTCAATCCCTAGTAATGTGCCCCCCTGCAATAAAAAATAATTAAATAATTACAGAAATGTATTCTTGGGCAGGTCTGAAGGCTGGAGACTCCTGAATTTAGGGATAGGCAGGGCTATGCTCCCTCCAAAACCTCTGGGGTTGGATATGCCCTTGTCTCTTCTAGCTTCTGGCAGCTCCAGATGTTCCATATCTTGTGTCAGCATCACCCTGTCTCTTTCCACAGCCATCTCCTCTCTGGGTCTGTGTTCCAGTTTCCCTAGTTTTTATAAGAACATCAGTCATTGGATTACTGTCCACCCTAATGACCTTATCTTAACTTGATTACATCTGCCAAGACCCTATTTTCAAATAAGGTCAGTTCACAGCTATAACTGGTCAGGACTTGAGCACATCTTTTTTGGGGGTGCAATTCAACACATAACAGGGTTCCAAAGAGTTTGCCAGCTGTTTTTGAAGGTAGATGTGCTCTGCCTTTGGAACACCCACCTGAGTGCTGTGAATTGGTAGAGTGGGAGAGGTTTGGGTGTGTTTTACATTTATTAGTCACTGAAGACAGCCTCTGTAAGTGTGTGTCACCTTGTGCATATTTCATCATGTTTTTTACCTTGTCAGCAAAAATGTAGTTTGATTTTTGAAGGGATAATGGTTTATTTTTCACCTTGCCTGAAACATTTTACTTCATTGTATGAATAAATATTTTCAAGACAATGGAAAATGCATTCTACTAGGTCTGTATTAATCATTTTTGAAATACAAACATGTCATCAGTGCTCTATTTTTTTATTCAAAATGGGGTAATGACAAATTTTATACATGTATTTATTTATTTGTTTATAAATGAATAAACTAACTTTTAGGCATAATCTCTCTATAAGTTGATTTCCTTCTCTTGTTGAATTTCCTTCTCTTGTCATTCTCTGGACAAAATGCCAATTTAAAATTTCAGATTACTTTTATTTTGGGTACCAGGGATTGAACTCAGGGGCACTGGACCACTGAGCCACATCTCCAGCCCTATTTTGTATTTTTATGTAGAGACAGTCTCACTGAGTTGCTTAGTGCTTCACTTTTGCTAAGACTGGCTTTTTTGCCATTCTACTGCCTTAGCCTCCCGAGCTGCTGGGATTACAGGCTGTCACCAGTGCACCAGGCATTAGTTTACTTTTGAAACATAGTTGGAACACACTTTCTTCTTCTTTTTTTTTTTTTTGTTAACTGTCTATAACGTATTTTAATACTAATATCAAGTGGAATAGGGCTTAACAATATCTTTTGTTTAAAGAAGTTTCACTTTCTGTGTATTAGAAATCCAACAGAGGTTATCTATTTGTTCTGTTTTTTTTTTTGTATACTCCCATGGAAGATGGAAATTCATCTGTGCTATAAAATTTTAACAATAATCCTATAGGAAAAAGGATATCAGGGTTCAGGGATGTAGCTTAGTGGCAGAATGCTCGCCTAGCATGCATAGATCCCTGGGTTTGAATCTCAGCACAGCAAAAAGCAAAGCAAAATAGAACAAAATAGTCCCCCAAACTCCAAACCAAAAAACCCAAACAATTCAATA